CCAATCACTATGGTTTGTGTCCTAACAGGTAAGTTTAATTAATGGACATGAAAGATTAAAGTAAAGCAGGATAAAGCAGCAGCTCCTAGTAAAATATTAAACACACTGTGGTGCATCTTTGAAGATGCCAAACATACTTCAGTGTTTTAGCACAAACTGCTCATTTTTCTTCTCAATACTGTACAGACTTCAGGTGATTTTGTTGCTCTCAGCACCTCAGGTTTTAAAATACATCTTTAAATCAGAGCTTGATTCCCACCTGAATCCCCAGCTTACTCCCCCATGCAGTAACCCAGTTAAGAGAGACGGTCCTTAGCATGGTGGGTAAGACAAGGACCTGTAATCTGAAGTTTCCCAGCCCAAGTCCTGGGAGAAGCTTGACCTGTTTACCTTTAGACAGCTGTTTAACCTGAATTGCTCCAATGTCCAGCTGTCTGAAAGAGGATGGTTTTAAATAGTTAATTTAAATTAATAAATTAAAAATTTGGGCTGCATGATACTGGAAAAAATTCACATCACATTATTTGATAATTTTGCAATAAATGTTGCAATATTTATTAAACAATAACATGCTAGTACAGGAGGTTTGAGTTCTAAGGAGTGTCTGTGGCCTAGACTTAGCACCACTTAAGATGGAGGAGTAGAAGTTTGAGGGAGTAGGATTTAGGGCACCCTGTACTTGTGGATGTGCTCAGTGTATAAAAGCATGTGCACAGTGAGACCAGATTTCTTATAAAGGCGTTCAGGATGCCGGCCAGTGGCCTCCATTATTCTGAGTTCAGGGGTGAATCAAGGACAGGAGCGAGTGGCTGGGATCAGCCTAGTCTTTAGAGGGGCTGGATCATTAAGCAGTACAGATATAGTATCATTATAGAAGGAAACCATAGTATCGGGAGAAGAGAGTTTATGTAAGTCAGACAGAGAAGAAGATAGAAGAGAACCAGCTAAGAGATTAGAACTGACAGAGATTTTCTTAGGAGGAGGAGTGTTAGCCGACGGCCGATCCTACTCTCTGATCCTTACTTGCACGTTACATTAGACAAAAGCATCTAATAGACAAATGAACCGCTGAATGCATTTGTTTTTCCTTGTGTCTAACATTAATTACTTGTTGACTAACTATTCTTACCTCATTTCAGGTTCTTTCATTGAGTTCTTAGTGAAATATTCCCCATCTCCAGCTGAGAAAGCAAAATTTGGAGGAATGTTTGGTGGAATCATAATTATGTTCATCTTTTTTCTTATATTTCGGAGTGAGTATGTTTATAAATGGATTTCAGGAATATTGGGCTAGAATTATGCATAAAGATTTATTCTTTACTTTGTATTTAAACAAAGAAATGTGTGACGATTTACATAATTAAAAATTTGGTTACGCTTTACATTAACTGCACCTTCATGATGCCTTTATAATGCTTTCATAGAATATTCAGTGCCCCTACATAATGCATTTATAGAGCATTCATAAGAAGCATGTAAGTATACCTTAATATCCTAACATATCTTAACAGTCTTGATATACACTAAAAACAAACATTATATGATTATAACAAACATTATAATAATTTAATCTGATATATTTAAGCT